TACTCCAACTGGTTCACACGGAAATAAGCAAAATCAGCGTGGTCTTTAAGAAATGTACTGTTTTGTTACATTTGTCTCCAGGTAATCTTTACTTTGGCTTTTTCCTCTGCCTTTTTAAAGAACTAATTTGGCCTCCCCTTTCTGTTTAGCTCTTGAGAATGAGTAAGAATACAAATTCTTTAGACCCTTTTTGTTATACCAACTAGGCATTGGCGTACTCTTGGAAGCTCAGCCGCCCAGCCTCATTGGTCTGCTCCACAGGGTAGATTTAGAAGTGCCCCTGCTCAGCTCCTCAGCAGACCTGTTCTCTGCCATGTTCCCTGCCCTCACTGGAAGCACAGTCAGGGCCCATTTTCACTCTCAGAAACAGAGGAAGGAAGACAGGAAAATCAGCTTGTTGGCCAGCAGGGCTCATTAATGATTTCCCCGGATACTTCTGGAAATTCCCATCCAACTTTCTTCATTATCTGGCTTTTTAGTAATGCAGATTAGACATTATAGCAAGCAATCTTGTTGGTTCCAGGTCCTGGCATATATAGGAAGGCTAGGACATCGTTTCCCTTTCATATCTCAGGGTGAAACATTTAAGTTAGGTCCGGGATCTTCTCACTTCTCAGAGCTAGAGAGGTGTTGGAGTCTTGGAAGGATTACTGTGCCTGTGTTCAGCTGGTGGAGGTGAGTAATTGCGGGCTGTGAATTCCGCAGCACAGCGGTGCATAGCTCAGGGCCTTCAGGGATGTGAGAAGACTTGGCAGACCATGGAGGAAAAGCTTGAGAACTCAGACTCAAGTGGAGGGGGCTAAAACATGAACTTTGCCCTTTCAGAATTCCAGGCTTGTATGGCTTTAGGTAAGTTGCTAATCTCCTGAGCTCAGCTACTCCTCTATCAGTAAGAACACAAATACCTCATGCATAGAACTACTGGGAGCTTAAAGGAGATGAAATACGAGTGTTTCAAACAATGCATGGAATGCTGTAAGCATTCAAAAGTTCCCTGGTAATAGGGCAGTATTTCAGTGGGCTACTTGTGGACCAAGCAGTCATTGCTAATGTAATTACTGTTACAAGTTCCAAACAACTGATAACAAACCCATTGTAAGCAAGGCTTTGAAGTAGTGAACAGATCCAGCCACAGTGGGTATTTAGTAGGAATAAATAGACTAGAAATGAATGTTTCCCAAGACCTGTTTTGTACTTCCGCCAGCCACTTCAGGACTAATAAAAAAATGCTCGATTAGACTGTACTTTTTTCTTTAGCAATTATTGAGATACTTCATCACTTTAACAAGTGTCAACTGAGTGCTGGGGAGATGTCTCAGAAGGTAAAGCACTAGCTATGCAAGTGTGAGGATCAGAGTCTGAATTCCCAGAACCCACGTGAAAGCTGGAAGTATAGCATATATGGTTGTAATCTCCTGGCCCCCATAAGGAGAGGGGAAACAAATTCTCAGCCTAGATAAAGCTGGACACAATAGCATACATGGCTGTAATCTCAGGGCTCCCACAAGGAGAGGGGAGACAGAAATTCTCAGCTGCCTTGGAGATACATCAGTGTATAAGTAGAGGTGTGTTCTCACATCAGTGTCAGCTAATAGGTGTCCAGATGTTAGCTAAAAGTCACAGATTAGGAGGTTGAGAAAGAAGGTTAAGGACAGAGATTGACAGTGGAGGGATCCATGTTAGATTGGTCAGTGGAGAGGGTGAGGATGAGCCATGATGGAAGAGGCTTGGAATGGGGAGTGTCTGAGAGGTCACATTCCAGGTCCGGGACATTGGTTGTGCAAGTAGGGTTTGGTATAGTTCCCAAGTTGGCTGAAGGGAAAATGACAAGGTGAAGCCATGAAGTGTGAGGAGCAGGCTGGTTGAGCTAGACAGAGAGTAGTGGCTCCTGCTTGGGCTTTGGAGGACCGATTGGGTCAAGCCCTGACAAACCATGGGAAGAGAGCAAATTCTTGGTACAGGAGAGTGTTTGTGAATGCTTCCTTTTGTGGTACTACAGTCTGCAGAGGTGGATGTTTTTTGTTTTTTTTTTTATCTTGCAGTTCCAATGAAGTCTGTACTGTGAAGCCAGGCATAGTCCAGAGGCTTCCCCACATGTGCTGTGAGAGCAGAAATAGCAGGGAGTGTAGCATAGGTTCAATCTGATGCAGAGGTACCGTACCACTTTGTGGTGCCCACAGCAGGTTTCTCACTGGATTAGGGCTGTGGCAGCTGAGGATAGTGAGACCTGGGCTGATTCTGTGTATTTCCATTTTCAACCCTAGAGTCCTGATCAAACCAGGAACAACCCAGGAACCCAATAATCAATAATTGGGAAGGAGTCCCTTGGGCAACTTTATCAGTTGTAAATTTCTGTTATCAAATCAGTTCTCATCAAAGTGGTTGGTTCAAACAACAGGAAGGACCCTTCGGATATACACTTAAGTTAAGCATTGTTAATTAAACTAAGTGTGTGTGTGTGTGTGTGGTCTATAAAATAGAGTCTTGAGAAAAGAATGAGATATTCTGTGTCACACAGAAATATTCTCTGCCTTCTGTATGTGCCTGGGCCCTTCCAAGTTCTGAGAGCCCCAATACTGGTATAAGGCTGCATGACCAGCACAAGCTTTTCTGTGGATTTCAGTGGATCTTAGATATCTTTGTGTCATGGATGGTAAAAAACAAACAAACTTCTCTTGTTTCCCTTTTCTGGAGAAGGAAAGCCCATGACTCTGAAAGATGTCACACATGACCCAGTTGGATTGTCTGATATAATAACTCAAACATGCACTTGCATACACGTGTCCACACTGCTTCTGTGTGTGTGTGTGTGTGTGTGTGTGTGTGTGTGTGTGTACACGTGTGTGTACGTACGTGTGTATGTGTGTACATGCCCGCGCAAGCATGCATTCTCGTGCCTGTGTACATGTAGGTCACTTTCTAAAGGCACGGGGTCTGAGTGTGACAACTGGTATGGGCCTGGTGTTTCTGACTCTGGAGCTTGAGTTCTTTGATGAGGTTGTGAAGCTCAGTTAAATGCAAGGAAAATGGTTTAACGTCCAACTTTTTCCAACTCAGTGAGTTGAGTCTTTTTATCTTTGCAGTGAACTTTTAGGAGTAAAACAAAATTCATTTCTTCCTAATGAAATGGAAATAGAATTTATATTAAAAAATAAGAAAGAGGTGAAATACAGCCAGATTAAAGATGGAAGTAAAATGTTAGTCTCATAAAAACAAAGATTAAGATTCTTAAATTTTGTATTAAAAATGCTAGCCTCAGATACTCTGTATATTTTATAATTAAACTCTAATGTCTGTGGGAGTAAGAGTCCAAGTTCACAGTGTTATCAGTACTTAAAGTAACAGATATATCAGTAAATTTACTTTTGGAAGATTTTATTATTATTATTAATTATTTATTAATTATTAATTATTTTATTATCAGTAAATTTACTTTTGGAAGATTTTATTTTATTATTGCTTAATCTAGCCTTGTCTTGTTTCATAATAACATTTCTTCTAAGATAAAATCAGGCATTTCTTCAAATCATTAAGTAGATTCCTAATAACAATGTCCTGTTTTCTGAATGTTTAGAAATTTAGTCTGTGGGTGTGTTTTCAAGTGAAGATTACTACTCTGGGTTACAGCCCTCCCTGTTTTGAGAAAGCAGAAATTTTCTAATTCTTGGGGTGGGGTTTAAAAATTAGTTAATGGTATATGCAAAATGTAAAGCAGGGAGCTTTATGGTTTGCTGATCTGTATAGGTATGTGTACTGTTGCTATGACAACATTTATGGTTTATTTATATTTTTAGGGTTTTTTTTTCATGAATGATTACTCACTGTAATAATATTTCTCTGACTAAGGTTGAGAACAGCAATCACCTGTAGATACAAACACAAATACCTACAAAGCAATCTGACAATGTAACCATTTTGCAAAACAAGTTCAATAGATTCTCCCCTTGGGCCAGGGACTTCCCTAGCTATGGGTTTTGATCATATTTACTATACCAGGCACGAATTTCCTCCTGTAGTGCAGGCCTCAAATTCAGTCAAGAGAGTGGTTCATGTCCCCATAGAGTCTTGACACAGTTGGCCAGTGGGCACTTTTGCTTGCAGGGCTGATACTGTAGCATGCAGGGTCTAGCACTGGGTAAGACCATTGAGGCTTTCTGCCCCAGCAGCCTGCACAGCGAGCTACCCCACAGGGAGAGTTTCCTGGTCAGTTCAAGATTGATTTTTCCATGCCCTGCCACCAATAATGACGTTTTAAAAATCAAATGTTTAGAGTTGTTCACCATAGGAAAGTACCTCTCATCCGTTTATGTTGCCCTTAGCCTGCTTCCATCTAATAGCTGGTCAAGTGCCTCTCTTCACCCACTTTCTTGGAAACTATTGGCTAATGGTGTAGACAGGAAAGAGAAAATGTAACCCTCTTTGGAAAAAGCCCTGTCAGAGCTTATTAGCTACCCTCCTGGTTTTTCCTCTTTCCAAAACCCAAGTTCATGCAGTCCTACACCACACTGAGATTGTTTACTGCCCTGGGCAGAATTCCTGACATATTTGAGGCCTTGCCCCTGTTAATTTCTGCCAGATTCCCCAAGCCACAACTGGTCCAGTCCATTCACACCAGCAAAACTCGCCTTCATCTCCTCCCTGACCTCTTACAGACTGTGCCAAATGCATTGTTGTGTAAGTATGCTTAAGGCCAGTGGCTGTTCCAGGGCACTGCTGTACCTGGTTGGTGTCCCAGAATTTATGGCTTTCTGCTGTCATTGCCTTGGCTTTGAATTCAGTCTGACAACTTCGCCTGTTTGACAAATGTTAGATAACCCACCTCCCTTCCTTTAGTAAATATACCAATGGTGAGGATTATATTGCTTGCACCTGATGAAATAGGCCCTATTTCCCAAGGCCAGTGGGAGAGGTATGCTTGAGGGGTGGGGCAGTGGGAGGGTAGAAGGAGAAAAGATAGTGAAGAAGCCAACCACTGATTCCCAACAGGCAGAGCCGGCTTCCCTGGGTAGACAAGCCTGTGTGTGCATGGTTTCAAAGCCCAGATGACAGGCCAGAGATGGCAGTCTGTGCAGCACGACTGAGAGGTGCAGGTAAGGAAAGCTCTGAGGGCAGTGGGACACCACTAGGGTTTGGAAATGAGTCAGTCTGGGCGGGAGAGCTGCTTCCCCTTTGTTCACCTCAGGGACTTGGGCTTGAGGGTTCTGTTTCTCCGAGCCCAGCTCAGCCTCAGTGCTGCCAAAAGCCTGGGTCCACAGACACTCAGCGGAGCAATATTTCCCCCATTGTTTAGCTGTAAAGTTAGCTGATCTGTGGTACAGCTGGGTTGACTTTTTCAGCTCTTGAAACTTCTTAAGCTGGCTTTGGTGTGTGGTATTAGAAATCAAGCCCAGGGCCTTGTGCATGGTGGGCAAGAGCTGTACCCCTGAGCGCACCCTACCCACTTACTAAGCTCTTTCTTGTGCTGCTTTGTCAGCAAGGGAAACTTCAAACATTTGCTTTCCTCCCTACCATCTGTTTCTGTACACTTGTCCACTTGTCCACGTGGCAGGGATCTGTGGCCTGATGTTTGGTTTCTGATACCTGATCCTGGGGAACTTTGTTGCTCCTTGCTGACTATGTCTTAGTGGAATTTATTTTATTTTATTTCTTGAGGTTATATAAATGGGCTGGAAATGTTGTTCAGGTAGAGCTTTTGCCTGGCATACATACTTAACACCTTGGGTTCCATCCCCAGTGCCCCCCACCCGAATTATGCATATAGAATTGTTTGGCATTAAGCAGACATTAGTACTGGGCATAGTGACCCTTACCTGTCACCCCAGCACTGGGGAAGCTGGGACAAGATTACCTGGAACTCCAGGGCAGCCTGGACTACAGAGTGAGTTGGAGGGGCCTGTCTAGGCTCTATGAGATCCTGTCTTATAAAAACAAAATGACAAAAATGCTGTGCAGGACCATTTGGCAGCTCTTCCTACAGTTGAAGGCACATGGAAACCTCCAGTGGAGCTGCTGTTTGCTGAGTGTCATCTCTTCAGGGCTGCAAATGCTGGGCAGTAGTATTTCTGATCTGGCTGCCATCATCTCTGCTATGGAACCTTTAAACCATCCCCTCTGACAGAGTCACCAATGATCCTTTGTCTGTATGTACATGAGGGAGGGAGTAAGAAAGACTATTTCAAGAGTTATGCTTGTTCATAGTGATATAAGCCTCCTCCTGCCATGATGGAAGAGGGAGAGTAGACCCTTTGGCTGAGAAAGTGTTGCTTTGGTTTTGTTAACTACATTGTCTCAAAAAAGTGTCAAAAGTTTATTTACAAATAAAAGAACAGACGCAAAAAATCAGATGTTCAAAATGACTTTTAAGAGTTTTTCAAATACAGGGTGACTCAACTAATAATGCAAATTTCTCTAAAAATATTTATGTGGTGTGTGTGTGTGTGTGTGTGTGTGTGTGTGTGTGTGTGTGATGTGCCTATGTGTTGAAATCATATCCTAAACTTTGGATCCTCCTATTTCTTCTTCCCAAGTGCTAGGACTTCAGGCATTTGCCATGGATCCTGGCTCTGCCCTCCATGCTTAGCTAAATGGGAGTGGTCAGGGTCTTCCAAGCTTCAGGTGGGTGCAGTAGTGGGTCATGGAATCAGCTGAGTAGGTTGCAGTGAGCTGTAGGAGAGGTGAAGTGACGGACATCTCAGAATACACATGTAGTATTATTAATGTGAGAAAGTGCCTCTGGGACTTTGACTTCATCTAACTGTGGGGTCTGACTGTGTCACTGTATAAAGTGCTTTACACACACAAACCCTTGAAAGCCACCTGATCTGTGGCTTTCAAGTTTTTCAAAGAAGTTAAGTATTTGTGACAATATATCCTTATTGCATGTTTTCCCAGGTTCTTTAGGGTTTGTATAGTTATAATTATGCTAAGGGGAAGTGTTAATTACTATGTCTTTCTTAGCCCCCCCTTTTTTTCAGATTTTTTAAATTTGGATTAGAAACAAGATTGTTTTACATGACAATCTGTTCCCTTCTCCCTCCCGTGCTCCCTACCACCCCCCAGTAGCCCTCCCCCCCAACTAAAACCCTATCACATATCTTTCTGCTCCCCCTGGATGGTGAGGCCTTCCATAGGGTGTCATCAGAGTCTTTCGTATCCTTTGGGATAGGGCCTAGGCCACCCCAGTGTGACTTGGCTCAGGGAGTATTCCTCTAAGTGGAATGGGCTCCCAAAGTCCATTCCTATGCTAGGGATAAGTACTGAACTACTTACTACCAGAGGTCCTGTACCACCCTGAACGCACCTGATCTCGTCTGAATTTAGCCCCTTTTCTATTGCTGAGTGAGTGAGCTCAGAGTGATTTTTTTTTTTTTTGAATGTAAGAATTTTGGTGGTTACAGTGGTATTGTTTTACAGTATCCCCCCTTCCTTCTCTATTTCCAACCAAGATCTTTCAAGGCATTGTGAACCACATTCAGCTGAGCCCATGACACATGGAAGATATGACCACTCAAACTGTAATTTTCAAATTAAACTTATTTTCTTTTTCTCTTAAAGTTGTCATTTCTTTTCTCTATACTAAATATAATACTTCCAAATCCCCATGATAGAACCAAAGGGAAGTGTCTCAGAAGGGGTGTGTGTATGTTGCGTGTGTGTGTGTGTGTGTGTGTGTGTGTGTGTGTGTGTGTGTGTTGTGGGGGACTCTAATTTTGCAATTGTCAAATAAGAGAAACTAGTGTTACATCTGCCAAGAGGGCTCTGGAACATGGGAGCTTTGGGAGACTCTGATAAAGCAATTGTGAGGTGAGAGCCACCATTGGAACTAACAAGTCAGAGGGTTAAACTGAGAAATGAAATAGATATTTAGAAATTTGTGACAATATATCCTTATCAAGCACAGTAGTTTTTGAAATGGCAATAGGTGCCTCCTCCCCCGGAACTAGTAATACATTTTGTAAATAGTAAGGTTATTACTCCAATGCTGAACTTTCATAGATGAAATTAGGAAAATCAAGTTCTCTCTTTATCTCTCCCTCCCTCACTCTCCTCCCTTCCTCCCCCCCTCTTGTTTTCTTTTAAGTCTTGCTGTATAGCATGGGCTGACCTTTACTTTGTGATCCTCCTGCCTCGGCCATCAGAGTGTTGGGATAATAGGTATGTACCACCAAGCCTAGTTCTCTCCTTTCTGCTCTACTCTCCTTCCTTTTCCTCCTCCGTGCTTCATTTGTGGTGTTGAGGATGGACCTCCAGCCTTGTGCAGCTAGGCAAGTGGTCTACCACTAAGCAACATGCCCGTCCCTGGCGGATTTTCTTAACATGCCACATGTATTCTTGTGTTTATGTATCTAACTCTAAACTGAATTTTAACATTATTTTCTTGACTACTTGGGGTCTTATTCAGTATGATACTTATAAAATTGTAATGCAGAATGGAGAATTTCTTTCCAGGATTTGTTCTTTCACTTGAAAACCTTTTAAAGGAATTTCTCTCTCTCTCTGTCTCTCTGTCTCTCTGTCTCTGTCTCTGTCTCTGTCTCTCTCTGTCTCTCTCTCTCTCTCTCTCTCTCTCTCTCTCTCTCTCTCTCTCTCTGAGCTTGTTGCTACATTTTGCTTTCAGCACTTGATCCCTTTAAGAAAGTGGAATCACATTTTCAAGCTTTTTAGATTAGGTCCCCCCCTCCCCGTCCCACAGGAAGTATCTAGCGTCATGATGCATGCACCCTTTGTTAGACAATTATTTTCTAATTGTTCGTCTGGAAGCAATTCATGAGTTCCTTTATAGCCAGCTATATAAAGGACACATTTGTTTTGTGATTGTGCTGACATGTCCTTTGCCTGTGTCCTTTTTTATGAAAGTCACCAGTAGTCCCCATGTGTGTGGATTAAAGACCAGTTTCTGTTAAAAGTAAGCTCTGCCTCTTGTGAGAAGAACTGCAGGAGAAGTCAGGTCTGAGGGGAAGTTTCTGGATGTGGAGTTGTTGGGTAATGAATCCTGTTGCAACAAAAGAAATGGAAACATGTGCAATTTGGGTGGCTGCCGGAGGGGAGCGGATTTTCCATTTCACAAGGAAGGACAGGAGGGGAGCATCAGATGAAATGCTAGACTTGGTTCCACTCTTCGCTATCGTTGTGGCTGTTGAAAAGATTTGTGTAAGGATGACACGTTTGGACTTAGTGAAGCTGGTGTTTGGCTGTAGTGTTGTTAGTCACAGATTGATTGCTGTGCCATGAGCTGCTGGTGTGAGTAGGCTGATGGGGAGGCGTTGGTTCCTTGGGCCAGAGCCCTAACACCACCCATGATCCATGTGGGCCGTAGTCTTGGTGGTGGGAGGTTGGTGTTCTCACATACTTATGTGCCAGGGTGGAGGAGGGGAAGTATCTTAGTCACTGTTCTGTTGTTGTGAAGAGACACCATGACCAAGGCGACTTTTACAAAAGACAGCATTTAATTGTGGGCTTGCTAGAGTTTCAGAGTTACTCAGTTATCCTGTGATGAGCATGCCAGGGTGCAGGCATACATGGTGCTGGAGAGTAGTTGAGTGTTCTATATCCTGCTTTGTAGGGGCAGGGCGGGGGGGGGGAGGGGGGAGGAGGGAGGGGGAGAAGAGGGGAGAGGGGGAGGGGGGAGGGGAGGAGAGGGAGAAGAGGGATAAAAGATAGTGTTTCCACCGTCCCAGAAGGGTTTCCTCTTCCTAGGCAGTCCTCACGGGGCGGGGCGGGGGGGGGAAGGAGGGAGGAGAGAGGAGAGAAGCATTAGTTAGTGTGTGTGTGTGTGGTTATATGTCTGGGTGGGTGTGTACATGCCATGGCATCTGTATAGAGGTCAGAGGACAACCGTGGGTGTTGGTCCTCACCTTTATGTTTGGTGAGCTGGACCATGAACTTGTGGAGATTTTCCTTTCTCTGTCTCCCATCCCGTCTTCTTGCAGAAGCACACAGGGATTGCAGACAGTTGCATCCAGCCTTTATGTGGTTCTGGGGATCTGAACTCAGGTTATTAGACTTGGACTTTTACCCACTGAGCTATCTCCCAATGAATTTTGAGTTTGATTTTTTTTTTGTTTGTTTGTTTTTCAGTTTTTGGATAGAT